ATTAATAAAAAAAATTAAAAATAATCACTTGCCCTCTCAAAAATTTCTTTCACGCTACGCCTATGATTTGAATGACCGAGGTTTTCAATGCTCTCTTTTAATTAAAACAAAATAATGTTAAAATGTAATGTAAAATAATAAATAAATTCTTCAACTGGAACCTAACTAAAATAAATCTTAAAATTCAGGTGTTTTGCTTAAAGGAAATCCTGCTCTTCTAACAGGTACGATTATTTAGGAATAAGGGGCAAACTTAAGTCATCTTTAATTACCTTAAAATACAACTTTTGAATATTTTCCAACTTTTCTCTAATTAGTTCTGCATTCAACTACTTGGAAACTGGACTTCTAATCTAAAACTTTGCATCTGCCATAAAGAAAGTTTAACGACAGCAAAACACAAACGGTCTAAGCGTCAAAACATTTAAACGTATAAAGGAAATGTCTAGTTTGTTTCTTTTTAACTCGTTAAAGACAGTGTTTTGTCATTTTCACAAATGAGAGTTGACGAAACTTTTGAATTTCTTATATTCAGTTTTCAAATATTCTTATTCAGTATTGACTTCAAGTCAAGGAAATAAAAAAAACTGCCATGTATTTTACGATGTTTAAAAAAGGAAGAAACTGTGCTGACATATAATACAAATAGCTTTAAAAAAAAAGTTGCCTTACTTCATATACATTTAATATTTACGGTGTTTGAACAACTAATGTTTTATCTTTAACTCAATAAAAATAGATTTAAGGAGATCGATCAACAAACTTTAACCTCTTCAAATCAAATACATTAAATGTGTGTAATTTAGTTTCGAATTTATACCTTGCTTCATATACAAGCATTTTACAACAGAAAACACCTTGCATCAAAATATTAAATAACATTTAAATTAAATTTAACTTAATATTCGTGATATCTTTAAAAAAAATAAAATCATTCCACTTTTTTCTAATAAATTATAAAATATTAGAGTAGTATTGCATAATTCTTTTTAATATAAAAAGGATTCGAAGGATTTTTTTTTTTCGAATTTGCTACTCAAATAGCTACTTAAGTAGTACTAACTTTTTACTATTTAAAAAAAAGAAACCAGAACAAAATAGCGTTTTTCTTGAACCAACGTACCTTTTTTGACAAATTTTGAATCTTCAGTTTCAAAGCATAAGGCTGGGATAGCAGCAATTCGAAAAATATGCTATTAATAGTTAAGTCAAGAGAGAGGTCACTTTGGGCACTTAATGTTGTTGTTGTTGTTGTTCATTTACGTCGCACTAGAGCTGCACAATGGGGTATTGGCGACGGTCTGGGAAACATCCCTGAGGATGATCTGATGACATGCCATCACAATTTTGATCCTCTGCAGAGAGGATGGCACCCCCGCTTCGGTAGCCCGACGACCTGCACGCGAAGTCGAGCACTTTACGGTAGTACAGTTTAACGAAGACCAATACCGCACACCCTCGGTCCCTACGCAGGCTGATCCAAGTGGTCATCCACCCGCACACTAACCGCAGCCAGTGATGCTTGACTTCGGTGATCTGCTGGGAACCGTGTCTTAACGATCAGTCCACTGCGGGACTGCAGTTAATGTTATAAATAACATTTTCTACTTAAATGGTCCTAACTATTTACTAATTAAAAAACCGAAACAAAATTGCATTTTTCTTGAACCAGCGTACCTTTTTTGACAAATTTTGAATCTTCAGTTTCAAAGCATAAGGCTGGGATAGCAGCAATTCGAAAAATATGCTCTTAATAGTTAAGTCAAGAGAGATGTCACTTTGGGCACTTAATGTTATATATCTTCTTAACTTTTTAAGTAAATCAAAAAAATTTTGCCCCATTATGAAACTTGTTTAGTCAAAAGCCATGTTGAAAATATTTTTTAATAATTATTTATTATCTTTTTCAATAATTGTTTCCTAAGAATTGACCAAAACATTATGGATTATAAATTACGCATATTTTTAATTAAGTTTAAACTTTGTCATAATAAACGCAAATTCGAAACGATTTAAGAGCATGAATTAATAGAATGAAAAATGAATGAAGGAAATAAAAGACTGAGAATGAGGAATTAATGAACACATTTTGAAAAATTTGCGAGAGTGAATAATTATTTTCTTAAACAGAAAATTCATCTTTCATTTCCGGCCATTTCTGACATACCCTCAGTGGTGCACAGACGTGTGTAGGTGACCGGGGAAACATTTCAATTACTTAGCCGGACAAAATATGTTATCGGTAGAGACAAAACATACTTGTTAAATCAGAGTAACAGAACCGTGGTGGCTTTGGGCATAGAGCTTTCCAATGAGGTGAATCGGGTTCAAATCCCAGCGATGGCTGGTCGATACGAATTCTACATCCGGCTTGCACCAGCCACTGTGCTGACGTAAAATATCCTCAGTGGTAGACGGATACTGGGTTAGAGTCCCCTTGCCGTAGGTTAACCGTGGAAGGTTCCCATGGTCTTCCTCTCCATGTAACGAAAAGGCGGGCTAGGTTCATTAAAAAAGTCCTCCACGAGGTAAAATTTCTCCCAATACTCGATCCAGTAGCTCCCTTGTCCTCCGGATTGGGTTCAAAATTGCAAGACTATGGAGTTGAACTTTAGTAGGCATAAACCCACAAAATTGAGTCGGCTGTTCAACGACGGTTATAAAATAAAATAGGTAGAATAATACTATAATAATGCAATAATAGGCTACAAAATAAAAATTTTATTTCATTGTTATCATTATCCTCTGAAGTACTCAAAGTGCGTTTTCTTTTGCACTTTAAAAGAACAATGTAGTCGTCAATAATATGGATTGATCACACGGATTTTGATTATGTTCACAGTTTCTCCTTTCCGATTCATTTAACCTTTCAGGGAATACACCAAATTTTAAAAAGTTAAACATTAAATCCAGATTAATTTTTCACTTACCTTTTGCGTTGCTTCGTCTAATCATTTTGAAAAGCACAATTATTAACAATGCAAAGCACTTACGCAGGAATAGGTCAGCTCGCTTTGCTAACTGCAATAAATGTGACGGAGCCATAAAGGAAAAAAAACGCGTTACCTAACAAATAGAAGATTGGTATTTCTCGCCTCTTGATATTTCTCGGCATAAAATAAAACAAGCGCTATCGCGCTGCTTGGGTCTTCTCGTACTCATTTAGAGAAAGCGCTGTTTGGGATTCTTCGACAGTGTTTTTTTACATGAGTATTTAATAAAATTTTAATAAAAGATTAACCCAGTTCACTTATTTAAAGAAGATACTTTGTACAGCTAACATGTATTTAAAAAGGACACCAAGCTGTTTGTTAATAAACATATTATTTGAAGGTAATCGAAATAAAACTGTAATGTTATGTCTTTTCTCATTTCAAGAAGGATCGTTATTGAGGGTCGTAAAATTTCTCTAAACTATTTAAACACGCAATTCGACTTGGTTTTACACTTTTTTTTTAACTCTTTTGACGCAGTTCAGGTGAGTCTCGAGAAGAAATAATGAATTTCTTATCAAAAATTTTCTTCATCTTCTCTATATTGGCTTTCATGGCAGTAGGTGAGTAAAACTTTTAACTCCGGGTAAGCAAATACCAATTCACATACCGTTTCTTAGTAGTTTCTGCGTTTAACACACGTAATACGTAACTGAAATTTCAGTAATCTAATATAATTATCAGAATAGTATGAAAAAAAAGAAAGATGAAAAGAAATAGTATGAAAAACTTATTAAATCAGGTGACGTTCTCATTTACGCTGACAAGGCAAGTAAACGAAGTGTCGTGCTCCTGCAGGGTTAGCGTATTATACACATATATATAGAGAAAAACTTTTAATAGGAAAACGCAAACGTCTTCATCAGGACCCATCCCTTATGATAAATGTGATATTTCTAAATAAATAATAATTGTCCTAAGATAAAAATTATTCCTTATAATGTGTCTATATCGCTAAAAAATTAAAATGCAGTAGAAAATAAGTTTGAAATAAAAGAAAGTAGAAAACGTGGAGCAAAAGTAAAAGAATTTATGTATATATATTTAGACGAATAGACGTCAGTATAATATTTAATTTCAGTAACCTGTTCAACTACAGAAGGAAGCAATAAGAATTTTAAAAAAGTGATTATTTGTAACACTTTAAACCAGCAGTCAAACAGGTTTTGATGTCTTGTAAGTTTTCTTTCCTCAGCTGTGATCAGTCAGATCTCGAAATATCTTTCTTTCTTCCGCTTAAATATTAATTTAAAACCCTCAACGCGCATACTTAGTCTCTTGTTATTGATAAAAAATTAGGAAATATATATTGAAGGTGGTTTTTACGAAACAACCTGAAGATTTCACAAAATATTTTGATCAAAACTGAACATAATATTTTGTCGGTATTTCTACTATGTAACATAACTTTATTCATACTTATTCATTATATACATTTAAAAATTCAGTTTCTTGATTTTTCTTTTTTAGCTCAAGGAGAGGTTCACAAAGTCAGTAAGTAATGTATTAATTCAATTTGTTTTAAGATATGAATGGACCAATTCACGTTTGCTTTGTGCATTGTTTTAATTTTTCTTTTTTTTTTCTTTCTTTTTTTTTACTGTTTTAGGACATTTTGAGAAGAAAAAAAATACTTTTCTTCCATTCCTTTATTTCACAATTCATTGTTTCTTTGCAATTTATCTCGACGAGATCGATCAGTTCGACAATTTAATTACGTATTCAGGAATGTATTTTTATATAATTGCTTTAGTTTTAAAAAAACGATTGGAAAATTGACGTAAAAGTGTTGACGAATGCATTCAGGCAAGAGTGTGCATAGTTGGAATTTTTCGGTTATATCACTCAAAATTTCTCTATTTATTACAATTATAGTGGCCACGCCGAGCTGCACTTGCAAACAAACTCTCTTAATAGTTTATTCAATATAGTTTCCTTTCGATGTACGAGCTTTTTTATAAGACGCCTTAGACTAAAAAAATAACTAAATGTATTATGACTAAAAAATGTATTATGACGCTAACTCAATAACGCGGAATTAGTGCGGACACGACTAATTACATACATTGTGGCAAAAGTCGACAAAAGATATTATTAAAATATCATACACTCAATTAACTGATGTATCATTTTAAATAAAAAAAAATAACCTATTCGAATTTTAATTTAAAAAGCCCTCGAAAAGCACTAGATGGGGCTAAAATTATCAATCGTAACTATTTTGGTACCTTTACAAAATCTTCCTTATTTTTTTCTAAAGTTTTTCCTTATTTTAGTTATTTAATTTCGTTAAGTCAAATCAATTTGCCAGTATAAATAAAAATAAATATAATTACTAGATAACTGTTCGGGTAACAATAATAGGCAGTGTAAATGTTGTAACTTTTTAAAATCCTAGGAGTTTTTTTATTTTCATTTTTGGCTAATTGGAAACTCTTAAAACACACTGTTGTAAGAAATTAAGAGAATTTGCAGAGTTGGTCGATTATCTCTAGAACTACTGGACCGATTTTAATGAAATTTGATCTGTTCAAACATAGATGCAATACAAAACAAATAACCATTCAACAATTTTAATACGTACGCATGATCGTGTGAAACACTCGTTGGAGTCGGAAGGTATGAAATTGCCACTGGACAATTCAGAACAATTGCTACATGAAATGATAAAATGCCTTATTTGAAGTATGAAATCCCGCTGCAAGGCCTGTATATCTGTAAGAGGGGACCATAACCCCTATAAACCCCTATATACCCATTGGCAAAATGGGTCTCAGTTTGGATTTCATGGCGTCCGCACTTTTCAACTACAATATTCAAGAGTAATAGTAAACAGTGCGCATGCTTTGATATGGCAAACGTGGCAGTTTGATAATTTTTTTTAAATTCTTTTTTTCGCTTCTAATTTTGTTATGTATCAAAAAGGTGAGTTTATTTTCGAGATATGGGACCAGAGAGGCCCCATAAATACTTCTTGAGTTGTGAATAAAAGAGAATTTCATCATTTGAACGATATTTCTCTTTTTATTGTTTTAATTAAGAATCAGAAATTCTAACCTACAATTCAAACTGGATCGCTTTCTGTACTAATTCAGGTGAATATTACAAATAAAGGAGGGTCCAAACTGATTGACACGGTCCAAAGAGTTAGAGTTGAAGCAAGAAAAAAAAACGACGTCAAGGCCTAAACTTACCGAGGCTGAAAAAGCCAAAAGTCAAAGAACGTAGGCGGAAATACTTTAAGCTCTACACATAACCGGATGGCTTCCGTTCGCAAATGCAAACATGAATACCGTCCCTCACATAAGTACCAAAGTGATTGAGAGAATTGAACCGTACTGAAGAGCGAATGGTGACTCTCCGAACCCCTTTCATGCAAATACGAGAACTGTGTGTAGATCACCAGTTAGGGAAAAAAGGATCCATTGTCAATGTACCCAATAACTTGCGCAAGACCGTAGACTGTCTTCCACGCAATGATCCATTCACTATTCAAGTAAAAATTAAAAAAAGTCTAGCTCTCAAATCATATTTTATGTATGAACTTGTGAATCCGAAACGGATGTATCATGCAGCGTACCATCTCCATCAAACACCATTGTTCCAATTCGAAAATGTTAATCCTGATCTCGATGGGCTGTTCAATGTCTAGTCAGTCATCAAAAGAATTTACACAGAATGCGTGTGAGCTGCATTTAAATATGTCTGCGAAATTGTGTACCTAGCAGATCTGTATCAACAGTTAAAGATGTCCAAGATGAAAACACAATAACGTGTCTTTTCCAAAAAAAAAATCAGACAACAGCCCTTTTGCCAATGGGTAACAAGTGATCGCCACGCGGCAATCACAATTTTCTTCATTTTGTAGTGAATCGGATTTTTGTTTTGTTTATTCTGCAATCGCTGTTTCATACCTTCCGACTCCAACGAATGTTACGCATGATCATGCGTGTGTATTACAATTATTGAATGGTTATTTGTCTTGTATTGTATTAATGTATGTACAAATCAGATTTCATAAAAATCGGTCAAGTAGCTCTAGAGATAATCGACCAAGTCTGAAAATTCTCTTAAATACTTACACCAGTGTGGAAAGAACTTCATTTCAAGAATATTAATAAGCATTAAGAAAATGATTAATGTAAATATGCACATTATTTTGATAGATAAGATAATTGTATGATTGTTTGATTTAAGGGAGGAGAGTTCATCACCATAAAGGTACAAAAGGTATAGTCCCAGGTAAGACATAAAACTATTCTAAATACTTCTTTTTTTACTATAAATACTCTAGAATAAATTGGGTCGAAAAAAATAAAATCTTGAATTTCAGAACGCTTTAGTGTGAAACAGTTGCCTATTGTAATGGGAATAAAAGCGCCATGCGAAATTTTAAAATTCCGTTCACGCATCATACTAAAAGTCAATAAAAGCTTGAAAAAATGAGTTTAATTATTATTTTTTAAGTTGGCTACATTTTTTTAATGAACACGCTTCATTTTTTATGCTTGTTTGCTGTTCTAAATTATTCCAAATTTTTAAAATTGAGCCGTCATGTCTCAGGGGATAGAGCATTCGCCTTCCAATGAGGTGAACCGAGTTCGTATCCCAGCGATGGATGCAAATTCCGCCTCCTGCTTGCACCAACCACAGTGCTGACGTGAAATATACTAAGTGGTAGATGGATCATGGGTTAGAGTCCCCTTCTGACAGGCTAACCATAGGAAAGATTCGTGGTTTTCCTCGCCCTGTAACGCAAAAAGGGTTAGTTCTCTCAAAAAGTTAGCACAATTTTTCCCACTACTTGATCTTGATCCAGGAGTTCCCTTGTCTTCTGGATTGGGTTCAAAATCACAAGGTTACGGAGTTGAATATCAGTAGCCGTAAACCTTAAAATTGGATCGGCTGTTCAACGACTGTTATAAAATAAAATTATCGGCCACAATTTTATTCATTTAGATTATTCAAATTATCAGAAAAGGTAAAAAAAATCTAAGCCGTGTTTGTTTCGAAAGTATTAGTTATTTAGAAAAGAGCGATTTTTTTCAAGTTTTCATTAGTTTTACGTACGATGCAACAAAAGAAGATATTAACCGATTTTAAAAATCTCATTATCACTATAGTTTTCAACTTTTCCGCACTCAAGTATACCGAAATTATGTTTTAAAAAAATTCGATCAAATATTTTTTTCTATTTTTTTATTTATTATATAATTTTATTTTATAACCGTCGTAGAACAGCCAACCCAATTTTTGAATTTACAACTACTAATGTTCAACTACGTAGCCTTGTAATTTTGAACCCAATCCAGAAGACAAGGGAGCTCCTGGATAAAGTATTGGGAGAAATGTGCCTTCGTGGAGGACCTTTTGATGGAACTAAACCGCATTTGCGTTACATGGAGAGGAAGACCACGCGAAGCTTCCACGGTTAGCCTGAAGGCAAAGGGACTCTAACCCATGATCCGTCTACCACTGAGGATATTTTACGTCAGCACTGTGGTCAGTGCAAGCCGGGTGAGGAATTCGTCTCGACCAGCCATTGCCGGAATTCGAACCAGGTTCACCTCTTTGGAAGGCAAACGCTCTATCCCCTGAACCACCGCTGCTCTCTTTATATAATTGTAATATCTATCAAGGCATTTTTGTATTCATTTTAAAAATCTTTGTACGTCCTTGTTCTTCCAAAAGTGTTTAATCTCATCTTTCATCGGGTCATTTTGACCAAATCTCTTAAAAGTCTGTGTAATAAAGTTAATAATATTATATTATATTAATAATAAAGTTTATTATATTAATAATAAAGTTATTATATTAATAATAAAGTTAATAATATTAATATTAAATAACGTTCAAAATAATTTCTCCGAAATATCTTCCTAAAACCTAGTTTGGAGAGATTACAAAAACTTGCTTGACGAAATTTAAGAAAATCGCCACACTATTCTAGCTTCCATTCGAAAACATTAATTAAATTACGAATTCGGACAAAAAGAACTTACTTTCTACGAATAAACATGGAATAAATTTGACTGATGTGGACTTCAAACCATCAAAATATGTAGCAGTATTGTAAGATATAATAAAAATGTTTTTAGTCAAAAATCCAGATTCCTAAAATAATGTGTTTGTATAACAAAAGTACGCTTTTAAGTCCATAAACATCCAATCATTAGAGCACAAATATTACAAGTTAATATTTTTTTTCTTTGTTCTCTGTACATGGATTTTATTCCAGATATTATCACATTAAAAGTTGACATATGCTGTAAAACGGTTATAAAATAATAAGAAACTAATCTTTCAAAACCGAAGTTTAAAACGTTCTGCACCAAAAGCATGGACATTCTCCGTGTTAACGTTGCCATTTGAAAAAGAGCTAATATAAACTACATAAATACGTTAAAATTAAATAATAATTTAAGCAAAAAAAAACATGCATTGTTCAACTTCAGATATAAACGTACAAGGCAGTAAAAAATACTAATTCTACAGTTAATAGTTTCAGCTTAAGAAAATTGTACGGCACAAAAAAAAATTTCTTCATATTTGGCATAAAATAACCAAAAAGATGCAAATAGAAAATTTACTCTTCAATTAAAAATTTTCAAATCAAATTTACGATGGGGTTTGGATAGCCTGGTTGGTAGGGCACTGGGCCCCTGTCCAGGAGGTTCTGAGTTCGATCCTCGCCGACCGAAGACTTCCCGTGTATTAAATGGTGGCTGATGCACGTTAAATCTGTCGAGTCTCAAGGTCGTCCATGTTCCCATAACAAATCATATATCTGGGGGTACTGATCCAGGAGTTTCCTTGTCTTCTGGATTGTTTCAAAAATGCAAGGGTACGGAACTAGATCATTAGTAGTCGTAAACCCTTAAATTGGGTCTGTATTGATTGGGTCTATATATATATACAGGGTGATTCTAAACAGATGGGCAAAATTTTAGGAACTGATAGTACACACTCAAGCAAACAATTTTTATCCAAGAATGCATGGTCGAAAACAAAACGCAAAACCGTTAGAGGGTGTCAAAGTTTATGTTCTTATATGAGGCAAAAACACACAAAGAACGATGAAGTTAAGTTATAAAAGCAAATTTAATGGCATGTGATTGCAATTAGTGTTCGAAACAGTGGCCAGCAGCGGCTATGCACTCAGTACAACGGCGAAGAAAAGATAGACGAACATTCTGAAGCACACCAGGCATATCACGAACTTTCCCTGCAGCAGTCGAAAGTTTGGTGACAAGTAGCGCAGCGCAGTAACTCGCAACAGGAATGGAGCTTTCACGTCTGCATCAAACAACTTTCCAAATGTGCCAGCACCTTTGCGGTGTGTTTTCGACCATGCATTCTTTGATAAAAATTGTTTGCTTGGGTGTGTACTATCACTTCGTAAAATTTTGCCCATCTTTTTAGAATCATCCTGTATATAGAATAAACTATACTACTGAAAAGAATTGACTAGACTCTAAAACGAGCAAAAAGATTAAATATCTAGAATTTTTAACTGAAAACAAATTGTTTAATTAGTGCGATTTTTTTCATCCAAATGTAAAATTATTATTTAAGTCAATAAATTATTCTTTATCTTTGCATAATTTAATGAGCCCTATTAAACCTCGTTTCAATTATTTTTTTCGAATGTTAAATTAAACTAGATTTCTTCACAATGATATTCATAGAGATTGCAGGTTATAGTAGGACAAAACGTAGGCTATCCGTTGCGAATACCTGTAAAAAAAATTATAATAGTTATAAAATTACCCTATTATTTTATATAACGACAGAGCTTTAAACTGTTGTGACCAATGCAACATAAATCTGTTTTCTTTCATATTATTTCGAAAAATATCTCAGATACAAAGAATGCAGTAAAGTAAGGTAATTTTAAAGCCGTCGTTGAACAACCGACCCATTTTTTGGGGTTTAGGACTAATGTTGAACTACGTAGCCTTGTAATTTTGAACCAATCCAGAAGACGAGGGATCTCCTGGATCAAGTTTTGGGAAAAATTTGCTTTCGTGGAGGACTTTTTAGAGGAGGAACTAAACTGCATTTACGTTACATGGAGAGGCAGACCACGAGAACCTGGCAAGGGTAGTCTGATAGCAAGGAGACTCTAACCCATGATCCGTCTACCACTGAGGATATTTCACATCAGCACTGTGGTCGGTGCAAGCCGGACGCAGAATTCGCATCGAAAGCGAACGCTCTATTTCCTGAGCCATTGCGGCTCGCTGGAAGTTAATTATGATAATTGTTCGTTAATCATTCCTTGTGACAATGACTATTCTAATAAACAATGAACTGATATTTTATATTTATTATTTTTACAGCTGCACTAAGTGGAGCTGGCAGGGCTGCTACAAACGGAATCGGAATTGCCGGAAAAGTACTAGATGGTGTTGGCAATCTTTTGTAATGAGATTAATGGAAGGATAAAACATTGTTTCAATAAAGAAAAAAACTCTTAAAATTATTGTTTGTTTCGCTTCAGATTCAATCCCAGAAAAACATGTAACCTTACGACAACCTTGTGGCTGTATTTTCTTTTAACTGTCATGAAAATGTTTGTACTAAAAACCTTGTTTTCAATAAAGCAGATATAATGCAGTTTCAAACCTTTCATCCTAAAAGGATTAAAAATAAGTTTTTAAAGCTTATTTTAAAAAAAGTATTGTCACTTAGGTAAAATGATCACTTAGATCCACAATGACGTTTTAGCTGACGTCACATTGACGTCACATTGTTTATTAAAATTTCAAGACAATGTGGATTTCAGCTTAGCATTCAGCACTTTGCGAAAAGAAACCTTATAATTACCTAAATTTAAAATTATTTTCACCCAAAGACAAGGTTTATTAAAGGATTTTTTCACGTTTGAAAAACCCTTAGACAACCTCGATTTTCAGGCTTTTATATAAAAGGGTGTTTTTTTCCCCAAGGTTTTGGATGAGGGTAATGTGCGTAGAATAGAGCATATTGTCACAGATCTAGTTTTAAGGTTAGAAGGTTAACACGTTAACCGTATTACAAACCTTCTTAGGTTTACATTAAAAGGTTTTTGTTGTGTGAAAATAAACCTTTATATTGCTATCTAGGATTTATTAAAGGATTTTTTCACGTTTGAAAATCCTTAGACAACCTCGATTTTCAGGTTTTTATATAAAAGGGTGTTTTTTCCCCCAAGGTTTTGGATTAGGGTAATGTGCGTAGAATAGAGCATATTGTCACAGATCTGGTTTTAAGGTTAGGAGGTTAACACTTAAACCGTATAACAAACCTTCTTATGTTTACATTAAAAGGTTTTTGTTGAGTGAAAATAAACCTTATATTGCTATCTGGGATTTATTAAAGGATTTTTTCACGTTTGAAAACCCTTAGACAACCTCGATTTTCAGGTTTTTATATAAAAGGGTGTTTTTTCCCCCAAGGTTTTGGATTAGGGTAATGTGCGTAGATTAGAGCATATTGTCACAGATCTAGTTTTAAGGTTAGAAGGTTAACACGTAAACCGTATTGCAAGCCTTTTTTAGGTTTACATTAAAAGGTTTTTGTTGAGTAAAAATAAACCTTATATTGCTATCTGGGATTTATTAAAGGATTTTTTCACGTTTGAAAACCCTTAGACAACCTCGATTTTCAGGTTTTTATATAAAAGGGTGTTTTTTCCCCAAGGTTTTGGATTAGGGTAATGTGCGTAGAATCGAGCATATTGTCACAAATCTAGTTATAAGGTTAGAAGGTTAACACGTAAACCGTATAACAAACCTTTTTAGGTTTGCATTAAAAGGTTTTTGTTGAGTAAAAATAAACATTATCTGGGATTATAAATTTAAATAAAATATGAAATTTTTGATTGCTAGCAGGGCTCGACAAACCGCCCGTCCTCGGAAGTCAAAACTTTCCAGCGGACAACGAATTTCTCGAATCAGACGTCCGCGCGGGCGGGCATTTTCCCGTTAATGTTCGTGATACACTTTCAATTTTTGTTATCTTACAAGAGTCTAGCGTCTCACTTCTAAAATGACCCTCTGATCTTGAAATCCCATACAGCAACATACTGCGCATGGTGTTTTTTCCGTCTGGGAGTACAGCAGCAGTTGAAAGGGACTTTTCAGCAATGAACTTACAAGAAAACACATTACGTAAGCGTTAAGCGCAATTATGAACATCCACCTAAATGGACTGCCCCTTTCAGATTTCCGTGCAGAAACCTCTGTAAATCATTGGCTTGATTGTGGAACTGGCAAACGTCATATTTGATTCATTTAAAAAACGCAGTACCCTCGGATAAATTGACATTCCAGATAACTTGACCTTTGTCATTTAAATTATTTCACAAAAGAAATAAATTATTCCATTAAAGAAATACTAGGTTTTACTATTAGTAACCCAGTATTTCTTTTATTACTGTATAATGTAATCCTGGTAGCTACTAATTCATTGTGTAATTTACATTGTTTGTAATAAATAAGAAAAAATAACATTTTTATTTATTTAGAAGCGACGGGTTAGTTTCAAAGGAGGACGGGTACATTGTTGGACAAGCCATCCTCGGGGACAGGTAAAATTTCTGAGTTTTTTTCTAGCCCTGATTGCTAGAAATTTGTCATAAAATATAGTTATTTTAATATTTTTTATTTAATCCATAATAGTTCCGAAAAGCTAAATTACTTTAGTATTTTATGATAAACAAAAAAATGCTTTATTTTGGATAAACTGAAACTTGTATCATAGTTTTCTCTAGTGTAAAGCAAGCCTTTCGGAATTTCAAGTGAACTTAGATCAGATTTACAAGACTAGTAAGATCATTGATTAAAATATTCAATACCCAAACGTTACCGACTTATTTTCATTTGTTTGAAAGGCTCTCTATACCAAAGGAATCACAGCGAGTTTAATTACTCACATTAATAAGGACAGACGAGTTTTGAAATTGGAACCACCCTGCTTTTAAACTTATCTCCATTAAAGTGAAAGAGAATTACCCCCAAGAATGTGCAAAGAATCATTTTACTTGCCATGTTAGTTTCCTTGGCTCTTTCATTAATCAAAAATATTTGTCTCTCTCGTGCAATGTTAGTAAATAAACAAACTTTTTATAATTTTGTTTGAATATTACACGCAGGTGGTTAATGGAATACTCATCTCTATTATAAGAGTATTCATAGAATGTCATGATTGTATTTAGCTCAATTTCAACAGATTCACTTTTTTGAAATATGCTAAGGAAAATTTATATATGGATAATTTTATACTGAATATGGGCTAGTAAACAATGAAAATAATTAAATACATAAGATTCTCTTTTCATTATATTACTATCAAAATTGATTTAATATTTTCTTGTAGTCGTTGTTGTTGTTGTTAATTTACGTCGCACTAGAGCTACACAATGGGCTATTGGCGACGGTCTGGGAAACATCCCGGAGGATGATCCGAAAACATGCCATCGCAATTTTGATCCTCTGCGGGGGGGATGGCAACCCCGCTTCGGTAGCCCGACGATCTGCGCACGAAGTCGAGCACTTTACGGTAGAACAGTTTAACGAGGACCAATACCGCGCACCCTCGGTCCCTACGCAGACTGATCCAAGTGATCACCGACCCGCACACTGACCTCAGCCAGTGATGCTTGACTTCGGTGATCTGCTGGGAACCGTGTCTTAACGATCAGTCCACTGCGGGACTTTCTTGTAGTTAGAAACGAAAAAGGGAAAATTAGTAGTAAGGACAATGGGATGAACATTGGCGTAGGTAGTGTTAATGAGAGCCGTGATGGCTCAGAAGATAGAGCGCTCGCCTCCCAATGATTTGAAACGGGTTCGATCCCAACAATAGCTGATTGATTTGAATTTCTCACTCGGCTCCTACCGACCACAGTGTTGACGTAAAATATCCTCAGGGGTAGACGGATCATGGGTTAGAGTCCCTTTGCCGCCAGGCTAACCGTGGAAGGTTCTCGTGGTTTTCCTCTCCACTTAACGCAAATGATGGTTAGGTCCATCAAAAAAGTCCTCCACGAAGGCAAATTTCTCCCAATACTTGATCCAGTAGTTTTCTTGTCTTTTGAAATTTAAATTACAAAGCTATGGAGTTGAACATTAATTGTCGTAAACCCAATTAAGTCGGCTGTTCAACGACGGGTATGATATAAAATATAAAAAAGTGGTGTTAAGGACAGTGAAAATATACTCACGCAATTTTTGCTATAGATTTTCAGACCATAGAAGAAAGATCGAGAGATTTTTCGGTTCGATTTCAGAAGGAGGAAAATGAAACGATAATATCGTGCAAAATGCAGCAGAGTTTTACATGAGAGAATAAGAATCTCACCGCGCACAGCTCAGCATACACGCATGCGCACCCGCAGGCAAACATGTAAAAATGATTGGCGCTTTCACACGCTACGGACCAAGGGTACTCCGAAATACATTGTGTTGAATGAAAACGTTGAATGGAACAAGGTGAAAACCACGCTTTTGAATAATACGAGGCGAAAATCGACATGGTAAACAAAAAAAATCTCAACTTTGAAAAGGGAAAATTGAGTACTTTTTAAATACACCCAATAAAAAAAGCACCTTTAAGGGCTTTTAAAAAACGAAAATCCAAAATAAATACCTTTAAGCACTTTTTAAAAATGCTACGCACCATACTATAAATATATATTCATTCTTTTCATCTTTTTTTTAATTTTGTTATTGAGCGTAGAAAAAAATAAAGAGGCAATATAAGTACAGTTTATTATTATGAATTTAAAATTAAATCCTTTACAAACTTTCGGATTTATTTTCTCAAAAGAAAAAAATAACAATTTGTGAGGATTTTTTTTCCATTGATCTCAATAGCATATAGGCTATGTATTAGGCTGTCTTGGAAGGTCTTTGACATATTTTCTGATAAAGTCGAAGTGCATATCGGTTCTCATAAACACAGCAGGGACGTTGGTTGTGGGACAAAACATATCGCCATATGAAACCACTCCCACGGAATAAAACCTATGTTTATATTGAATGAATGATGAAGATCCAGAATCACCCTAAATCAAAATAAATCTGAAAATTAGAAGGGGAAAAAAATAACATGGTTTTTTTTCGTTAAGATATCTGAATTAGGTCTATCCGTGTGCAAGTCAAATTCGGTTTTCTACTTTCCAATATCATAAAGCTATAATTTAAATCGGAACTTTTAGGGTTCGATTCCAGCGACAGCTGGTCTATACGAATCCCACATCCGGCTCAAACCGACTACAGTGCTGACGTGAAATATCCTCAGTGGTAGATGGATCATGGGTTAGAGTCCCATTGCCGTATGGCTAACCGTGGTAGGTTCTCGTGGTCTTCTTCTGAATGTAACGCAATTCTGGGTTTGTTCCATCAAAAAGTTTTCCATAAGAGCATGATTTATCCCAATACTTGATACAAAAGTTCACTTGTCTTCTGGTTTGGGTTCAAAATTACAAGGCTACAGGTTGAACATTAATAGTCGTAAATCGAAAAAACTGGATCGGCTGTTCAACAACGGTTATAAAATATTATCAGGTGATACTCTACAGTTTCATTGTTTTTACGCGACTGAAACCGGTTTGTATCTGTTAAAGTTCGTGTATCAATGGGTTAAATTAGACGATATATAACACTAGAGACAGTTATAATATAATTCAAAAGTTTTTACACTTAGTGATTAATTTGAATTACTGAAATCGGTTCATAAACTAAATAAATGCATTTTCAAGCTCCATCTTTGGTTATAGCCGTCGGCATTTTTCTACAAATTTTAACAAGGTGTGCTATTAGCCTTAAGTGTATAGCCATTTATGCCGTACAAGTGTTAAACGGCGCGTTGTTCTGGTATATCTAGTATATCTGGTATATCTAGTATATGATCTGGTCTGGTATATTTAGCTCCATTGTTAAAATCTGGTTTATGACGTTAAACGCTAACTATTGTGTGCTCTTTTTGAAGACTTGTCTAGCTATCAATTTTACAGTCCCTAATCAAATTATTAGACGCACTATAAGATTCTATGTAAAATCTTAATTATCAGATTATACTATACAGCTTTATTGTTTTTAAGCGACTGAAACCGGTTTGCACTTGTTTACTTTTGTGTATCAATGGGTTAAATTCGACGTTATGTAACGTAAATTCGACGATTGGATATATTAGACGATATATTAGATAAATATAGAATATTTATTATATCAAGTATTATATTAGTATATTATAATTATTAGACTCAATTATTAGACGCATTGCAGTATTTTATTAATTACATGTTTTGAACGAGGTTATATGCAATTCTTTTGCATTTAATCATTCATGTAATGGGTTTTTTATAGGGGGATTCTTTATATACTTCCTATTTGTATTTGTTTTTAACGTATTGCATTACAATATTAACCGATATATACAGGAACATATACAAGTGCAAAAAAGTTTCATCCCCGTCAAAACAATAAAGCTGTATAGTATTACCTGATAATTAAGATTTCACATAGAATCATAGATTACGACTAATAATTTGGCCAGTGACTATATGTGTGCGTGTTTTTTTTTCCAAATATTAACTCTTAAATACAAGCTTTTAGATTTAAGAAACGGCACTCATAAAGTGAAAGTAAATTTAAGAAGAGCGCAGTAATTGTTATTATCGAGTTATTATTATTATAATATANATAAATAGATAGATAGATAGATAGATAGATAGATAGATATATATATGCATAGATAGATAGATAGATAGGTAAATATATGCAAACCGTACCATGCAAACCGTTGTATTTCCATGTGGCATTCCACAGAGTTCCTCTGAAGGTAGAAACTGGACAAAACGCTTCCGGCAAACCTCACCGTTAGCAATACGTGAAGTACCTTCACGAAGATCTTGGCCAAATTCTGAGAGAAAAATACAGAAATAAAATGTTAAGTTATTAGATGGAGATTTTGCATTAGAAGAGATATTTGAAAATGGCTTTTTGATTGGCGATAAATTAGACTTGTAGTTATTTAAATATGTCAACAGGCCCACAACGTTCTTATTAAAAACATTGAATATTTCACTAGGATAGTAGTCGAAATTTCGATAGCAAGATTGCACTCGCTCAATTTCGAAAACTAGTAACTAAAAACGCAGTAAAGTACTGAAACATTTACAGGATGCGCAACAAGAGTTTTCTACAAAAAATAAGTACCTTTTACGTACTTTTTAAGCACTTAAAAAATATATTTAATCACTTTCCAAAAAAAATGTCATAATTAAGGTGTGTGCAGTAATAAAAATTTACTTTTTTCGATTGTTTAAAGTTCTTAATTTACATACATAAAATCAATAATATTTAGAAACATTTTTAAAAACTTCACATAATCATGATAAAATAATTAGTTTGTGATAAATATTGCAGAGAAAATTGTGAAAACTATGCATTTTTTGCAATTTAGAACTGCAATCGATACTTCAAAGAAGAATCTCTTTTTAAAAGATAGAAATTAAACATTTTTCCCAATTTAAAAAAGGCACCTTTAAGGGCTTTTAAAAAACGTAAATCAAAAATAAGCACCTTTAAGCACTTTTTTAAAACAGTGCACAACCTGCTTTATAATGAACTTGATGAGAAAATTATTACTATAATTTTTGATCTGACACAACTTTCCGAACGAAATTTGAAATTTCCATTTGTAATCAGCTCATCTAATATAGACGATCAAAAAATGTTCTAAAAGAAAGATAGATTATTTGAATACATTTCTTAAAAAAATTTAAAATTTGATTAAAAATAGCTTGGCAGATAAGTTTGTAAAACTTTAAGCTATACGCATAATTTAACGTTAAATAATTCTAAAGAACTAACAATACTTGATAATGATTACACATCAGAATACATTGTTAGTTTCATTATTTTAAAAAATACTTTACAAAAATTTAAAAATTCCCAATCGTTTGCTACTACTGGACACAGACTACTGCTATTAAAGTGTGTATCGCCAAGTGACCAAGGTTATTGCCAAATTGGCAAAAATGCTGCCAAAGAGAGTCTTCCACAAGAAATAACAATTGTGTCAGCTGAATTTCTTTTTTCTCATTTAATTTGATTTCGTTTCTCCAAATTTTTAAAAGATCGCTTTATTGAAAGGAAAGTTTTCAACTTCGAAATCAGAAATGATAATTGAACGCTACAGACCGAGTTTTTTTAATTATTATTATCAATCTTAAAAGTTACAACAACATTACGATAAGTTGAATAACTTCAGTTTTCAAAAATGTTTGCCAGTTGAAGTAAAATCGTTAAACTAGATGTTAAAATGCAAGCGTTTTTCTATACCCTTTAAACTTTAATGTGAAAACAAATAACTAAAAAACGCCTTCATGCTTGCAGTGATAAAATTATAGGTTTATTATTGGATATGGGGATGTCCGACAGTTAACCGGAACTTCTTTCTTTTTGCAACTGAATCACTCACTGCGTCACAGCAATGCAGGTAGTGATAGGAATCATCGTGATTACGTCACCTAGATTGCGTCTGGCCTTAGGCTTTATTTTCTTTCTAAATTACGCCAGAATTATGAGTAGGTAGGTACTTTATTTACGTCACATTAGAGCTGCACAATGGGCTATTGGCGATGGTCTGGGAAACATCTCTGAGGATGATCCGAAGACATACCATCGCAATTTTGACCCTCTTCAGTGGGGATGATTCCCTTGCTTTGATAGCCCGACGACCTGTGTGTGAAGTCGAGCACTTTACGGTAGAACAGTTTAAAGAGGATCGATACCGCACATCCTTGTTCCCTTCGCAGCCTGATCAAAGTGGTCATCCATCCGCTTACTGATCGCAGCTTGTAATGCTTGATTTCGGTGGTCTACTGGGAACCGTGTCTTTACTATCAGTCCACTGCAGGGACTCAGGACTTATGGGACTTTCTTGCAAATGTTCTTATTGAACTGATTATATCAGGTCCATCTGAGATATTTAGCCTCATAACACATCATAAAAGAATTATTCTCAAATTTATACACACATTTACAAATTCGTAATAACATACAGTGGTTTGAAAAATAAAACTAATTCTGTCAGAAGGGTTTGAATTATCGCCTTGAAGTGAAACAAAAAACACTTTCTATTTAAATGTTTTCATTGAGTTTCGAGGATATCTTATTTCATCCCCTATCAAAGTCACAATATTTATAAGAGTTTTGCTTCTTATTTAAAAAATTTTAAAAACGATCTTAGTATGCCAAAATGCTTTTTTTTAATTTTTTTTTTTTTAATTTTTACAGTGGCATTTTCTTTGAATAGCTTTTTTTTAACACGATAAATTTAAAAAAATAAGATTTCGAATCTACGAAAATGATTTTTAAAAAAAGAAAGAATCAGAACTGAAAATTAGAGAAAAAATATTGGGGAGATTTCCGTATCTTGATCTGTGGCAGAATAATCACCTAGTCTTGGCAACTTTCGGGCAACGGCCAGCAAGAAACTAAAAAAACATCACAGAAAGGGACCAACTCGAAAGTACAACTCGTAACCACCCCTGGGCAAACATCTACATGTTTCTTTAAAAAATAAAAATTTGCTAGTTTAAAATCTGTTTGGTATCTTGGCGATTGCAGTAGACGTGGCAGATCCCGATACGGAAATATCCTCAAAATATTTAAGACACTCTTAAAAATAAATGTTAACTTTTACATTGCAGTACATTATGCAAAAATACAAGGTAAAACTATACTTACGGGGTAGATCTACTTTGCCAAAACCAGCAATGTGCATTTTCTGGCCAACTCCAGCAATATTTTTAGGTGGAATGACACAAATTGGCTTGCTGTATGGTGTACAAGGAATTGAAATCTGTAGTTCTACTAGGGCTATGTCGTGATGAGGTGTATATAACTCAAATTCAGGATGAACAATGATCCGTTTGACAGGTAATTTTATTAGAGGTTGATATTTATTTCTTCCTAGTAATCCAATTTGTACCTTTCTTTCCTTCATTGCTCTGCACATGTAGGGCATCATCCAGCAGGATAAAGTTCTGGTAGAAAAGTAATGATTTATTTACTTACTCATTTTCAGTTAAAACTAACTTCGTATTAAAATGAAAACGAAACTCAAATCAACTTTCTTAGAGTTTTAATAGAAATTGAGCGCAACTAGCTTTTTATAGGAATGTCATAAATTCAAGATTGACATAAAACGAATTAGGCCAGTAGAGAAAGAAGAAATATTAATTCAGACGTATATGAGCACAAAACACGAATCAACCGAAAACGAGAACTCATCTCAACTGTTGGTGACAGTCACGGAGCTTTTCTCCGCCAACATCGCCAAAAGAAAGGGAGTACGTGATAGTGGGGACTCTAATGATTTATGTTCTATTCTAAGTCCTAGAGCAGGGATGTGCAAACTACGGCCCGTTGGCCAACTGCGGCCAGCCGGAAGGTTTTATTCGGCCCGCGGATGGAAATTTAACCAGCCAATCCATAGCGAGTATAAACAATATGGACATCCATTTTCTTGTCTACTTCATTTAAAGCTATTTTTGTTCTTTCTTTTTTAATAAAGTACTGATGATCTTTTTACTTTCTCTATTTTTGTTCCACAAAACAACCACAAACAACCGACCCAATTTTGAATTTACGATTACTAATGTTCAAATCCGTAACCTTGTAATTTTGAACTCTATACAGAAGACAAGAGAACTTCTGCATCAGGTATTGGGGGAAATTTCGCCTTCGTGGACGACTTTTTTGTTGAAACTTACCCGTATTTATGTTACATGGAGAAGAAAACCCTCCAAAAAACCTCGCGCGGTTAGCCTGACGACAAGGGGACACTAACCCATCATCAGTCTATCACTGAGAATCTTTAACATCAGGACGGTGGTCGGTGCGAGTTGAGTGCGGAATTCGAATCAACCAGCCATCGCCGGGATTCGAACCCGGCTCACCTCATTGGGAGCCTGGCGAGAGAGAAAGCCTAGCACTCTCTCCCGCTCTCGCCCCCTCCCTCTCTCTCCCTCTCTCTCTCTCTCTTCCTCCCTCTCTGTGTTTCTCTCCCTCTCTCTCTCTCTCTCTCTCTCTCTCTCTTTCTCTCTTAAATCTATCGGCCATTATTCAATTAAGTAAAATTTAAATTATTGTAGTGTGTCTCACCGGTCGAAAAAGAAGTCATTTTAAATTAGAGGAATATTCTTTTCTACTCTAATTAACAATAACGTCTTGACAATTAACTAGCATAATTATTATGTGAGTTTCAAACCATTAGGACTGTGTGTTAATGCTTGAAAATCAGAAATACTTACCCTTGTTTGGGAAAACAATGGGCTGCCGTTAGGACAAAAGTTGGAGAGATTAAAGCTCCAGCACAAGATCCCCATTCTTCCCAATCGTGGGAAGATATTACACCGACCTGAAAAATAATTACTAGATCATGGTTCTATCGAAGTCAAAGATCTCAGAAAGCATGTAACCTTACGGCAAGCTTGCGTCGGAATTTTTTTTTCATTGTCACAAAAATGTTAGTACTAAAAACCTTTTTTCAATAAAGCAAAAATATTGCAGCTTCAAACCTTTCATCCTAAAATGATTAAACATTATTATATCGTCACTCAGGTCCATAAGTGACGTTTTAGATGACGTCACACTAGCGATAAGATCAAATTGCATTGTCCATTAAAATGTGAAGACAAGGTGGATTTTAGCTGAGCATACAAGACGTTGCGAAAATAAACCTCATAATTACCTAGATTTAAGAGATAGATTTTCCCCTTAAGACTAGCTTTATTCCTGGATTTTTTCCACTCTTTCGATTTAAGGTTTTCATATCGAAGGTTGTTTGCCAAGGTTTTGCATTAGGGTAATGAGCGTAGAACAGTGCAGATTGTTACAGATCTCGTACTAAGATTAGAAGGTTTATACGTAAACCGCTTAGAAAACCTTTTTAGGTTTACATTAAAAGGTTTTTGTTAGGTGAAAATAACCTTATTTTGCTATCTGCGATCATATTCGAAGTTTTAAAATTTGAGGGCGGAAGGTTCTATGATCATATTGTCACATTGATTGGATAAGCGAGGTATTATTTGTATTGAAAGACCATTAGACAATGCCAACCTTCATCTATCAAAAGGTATCTCAAGTTTGAAACAGGTGTGCATGTCTTATGTAGTAGTAAGTTGATGTTTAATAATCGTAGTGATAGTTACGCTACAATACTCCTTCACCAGAATTTTATCAGGGATAGAATTAGATGAACGGATACCACCAGTTGCTGTATTTGTGAAAGACCGGGAGAGCTGGATTAAGGTCAGCGGATTTTGAACTTTAGCGATGAGAGCTGTATTAAGTTCATGGTTGTGTACGTGGTCACTCTTGTCTTGCTATTAGCAGTCGAGTATGCAGGATTTGTTATGTATTTCAAGAAAATAAAATGTCTTATACTTTTAATATATATATATATATATATATNCAAAATTCTACGCTTTTCATAATAACTCTTACAGATTGATAAATAGTCATATATATATATATATATATATATATATAAAGAATATATACATATTTAAATATTTAAAACATTAAACTTTTTTTTGTATTTGCAAATTTGTGGAGATTTTGCTACCCAAATTGAAATCATGAAAGTTAAATTTTAAAAGTTTTAATGAATCTAGATACTACTATAGCATTGGCGTAACTTTATAAATATTAAAAATGCAAAACCGTGACTTCTTTTCTTCTTGGCATTTTGAGCCATTTTCAGAATTTTCGGAGAAAGAGTTGACTTAATATAGGATAAAGAGTAATTGTTAAAAACTTACAGCGGATATGAAAATAGAACATTATTTGCAAAAATAAAGGAAAGAAAAAACAAACATTATTTTACATGACGTCAGAGTATTCGGAAACAGCTTTAATACTTACTTTAAAATTTTTGACTCCGTTCCAACAAAATTTATAAACAAATTTAAATTGTACTTCGCAACATTTTAGTATAAAACTGAAATTGAATGGCAATTTTCGAAAATTTAATGGAAATTTTGCAAACTGATACAACTTAGTTTTAGTTATTTTGAGCATGCTGGTAATTGCACTTGAAGTTTTTCAATTTTATATTCTTTTAAATTAAACTCGCTTAAATTCGTATAATTAACATGAACTTAATATTTAACAAGAATATTTCGTATAAATTATAAGAAATTTGATGCACCGAACTATATAGGCAACATTTTAAACCTTATTATTTGCTTCGAATTTAAAAAGAAAATTATTTTCTCTTTTTTTAAGAGAAAAATTACGGCATTTAACCATGTTAAGCCTGTTTCAAATGGCTAAATTAAAATAAATTCCAATACATCCACACATACTTACAAAAGAATAAAAAATTTATTCGGTAAGCAAACAAGCAAAGGTAAAAAATATCTGGGCAAGCAAACAAAGATAAAATTAAGAATTAAAATTTTTTTTAAAAATTACCGTAATCATTTATCCATTGACAAAATGGTTGTTGTCTAATTTTTTTATGATATTCACCTGAATTAGCATTGAAAACGTTCCAGTTTGAACTGATTTCTGATTCTTAGTTAAAAGATAAAAACAAAAATAGCATTCTAATGATGAAATTCTCTTTTATTCGCAACTCAAGAAGTATTTATGGAATCTCTCCTGTCCCATATCTCGAAAATAAACTCACCAACTTCATGCGTAACAAATTTAAAATTGAACAAAAGAATTCTAAAAAAATTGTCAAACAGCAGCGATCGCCATAGCAACACATGCAATGACGACGCATGCGCACTGTTTATTATTGCTCTTGAACACAGTTAAAAAGTGTGATGACGTCCAAATAAGGTGAGCCAAAACCAAAACAACACTCATTTTGCCAATGGGTAAATTATCTTCGAGACAAACAATTTTTTCCAAATTTATAGATTTCTTCAAATATTAAAATATATATTTATATATATGCTTACAATCCAAGGATATTTTCTGTAATCTTTAACTACTTCTCCATAGATAACACGCTCTTCAACGAAATCGGATATACCACATGCTGTAAAAATGAGGCAAAAGCTAATTAAATTCGAGTTTTCTTCGCTGTCGACAGAGTTCCTATAACTACAATAGAAAGACTTTAGGTTGAGAGTTAAGATGAGAAAAGCATCTTTAGCTACTTCTCTATATGATTTTGAAAACATAAATTTTAAAAAATATAAATTTTGACGAAAAATTTTGAAAAGGATCATTGAATTTTTGCCAATTGTATAGTAAGATCTCATTAATTGTAATTCTTTTTAACAAATTAATAAGCACATAATCAACGCAGGAAAAATAATATATTAAAGACGTTTTTAGTTATATAATCACGTTCTTTGTTTTCTCTAAATTAAATAAGAAATTTTTCTTAAATTTAAACTCCGTCTAAACAAATGCTTGCAACACAATTTTTTACAATTTTGAAATGTAATATGGCACACAAAACAATATTTCCATTAAGTATATTTTAAATATATATTGAAGATTGTTTAGAATCTAGAAGCATATATTTTATTTCGTATTACGAATAAAAACTCTATTGAAATTGAAGCAATGTTTTTCAGTTAACATCTATCTCACTTAGATAGCTTGCTTTAAATAAAATTTCACTATGTTTGATTTTAAAAAATATATATACCTTATGAAACAGCCTATACGTGTTTTTCTACGTATAAATCGACAAAAAATGCTCATATATTTCAGATATTCCAGTTAAAAATATAAGGGAAACATAGAAATAATAAAGATTAATGAAAAAAGACTAAAAAATATTAAAATAAAAATAATAAAATTTTAAAAATATTTTTGAGAAAATGTTTTATTTAAAAACAATTTTTTTAATTAAAAAAGCCGAAAAACAAAATAATGAAAAGATAACATTATTATACATAATTACAGAAATTAAATCAAAAAAGTTGATGCGCAATAACACTTAATAAGAATTGGACTATTTACTTGCATGTACTTATGTAACAGCAAAAATATTAGTGTTATTTTTTTCTCCTTATTCTGGGTTCTTATAAGCTATTTTATATTTTTTTATTATATTAGTGCGACACAGCAGTAGCAGGATTAATATAATAAAAAAAATACAAGTTTCGTGCATGAAAGATAGTACCAAATTTGTCATCAATTGTAACTAGGGCCGGGAGAGCCTGGTTAGTAGGGCACTGGGTCCATGTTCAAGAGGTCGAGGGTTCGATCCCAGCCGGTCGAAGACTCCCCGTCTAGTAAACGGTGACTGACGCACGGTAAATCAATCGTTAAATCCCCTAACAAATCATGCTTCTGGGGGTATTGTTCCAGAAGTTTCCTTGTCCTCTGGATTGGTTCAAAATTTCAAGGCTACGAAGTTCAACATTAGTAGTCGTAAACCCAAAATAGGGTCGGCTGTTCAACGACGGTTATAAAATATAAAATAAAATCAATTATAATTCATGACAGTAACGAGTTATGATTGATTGCTTTACTCCCTTACGATGAAGTTCAAAATGAATTCAGTGAGTTGGGCGAATGGGCTAGGTCCTCTTTTGGCAACTAATTAAGTTCAGCCCTGCTATGTCCAGTGGCAATTTGACTATTGGGTGAATGTACTCAAACAGCTATTAGTAGAACCGCGGTGGCTCAGGGAATAGAGCACTCGCCTCCGAATGAGGTAATCCGAGTTCGATCCCGGCAATAGCTGGTTGATTCGAATTCCGCATCCGGATCTCACCGACCACAGTGCTGACGTGAAATATTATCAGAGGTAGACGGATCATTGGTTAGAGTCTCCTTGGCGTCAGGCTAACCGTGGGAGGCTCTAATGGTCCTCCTCTCCATGCAACGCAAATGCGGGTCAGTTCCATCAAAGGATCCTCCACAAAGACGAATTTCTCCCAATATTTGATCCAGAAGTTTCCTTGTCTCCTGTGTTGGGCTCAAAATTACAAGGTTATGGAGTTGAACAGTAGTAGTCGTAAACCCAAAAATTGAGTCGGCTGTTCAACGACGGTTATAAAATAAAATAAAAAACAGTTTTTAGTTTCTTAACTGATATTTTTCATTTGTAGCTTAGTGGATTTTTTTTTAATCGACATCAGCACTTTTCTTTGTGCACCTGCTGATTTTTAGCATGTTTATTCTGTTTCGCGAATACATGCAACATAACTTAGATAATATTATAAAATTCTGCACAATGAAACGTGTGTTATATGGCTTATTCAATTGTCGGCTTTTATTTATTAATTTAAAGTAATAAAAGTTTTTTAAACTCACGACATTCATCGGAATAACGGTGATGGCCACCTTTGTGATGTTTCTTAGGATGGGTTCTTCCATTTACCTGAAAAAGAAAAAATAAAGAGCAAAATAAACTTACTTAAAAAATGATTCCCTTAAAAGTATATGCTGTACAATTTTCGCTCATTTTTTATTTTTTGAGATTTTTTGGACAAAACCTTGTCTTGTTTATCAAAAGTTTAACAAGTTATTCATTATGAACCATACTTTATGAAATGTTGGCAAATGGTGACTTCTTCAAAAAATTAGAGTATTTTTCATATTTTGACCCTATTTTTCTACCTCCATTGTTGAAATTTTCGAGATTGATTTACATCTTTTTTTTCATAACCGTTTTTGAACAGAAAGCCCAATTTTTAGGTTCACGACTACTAATGTTCAACTCCGTAGCCCTGTAGTTTTAAACCCAATCCAGCAGACAAGAAAACTCCTGGATCATGCCCCCAGAGGTATGATTTGTTATGGAAGCATGGAGGACTTTGAGACTCGACAGATTTAACGTGCATCAGTCACCATTTACTACACGGGGAGTCTAAGGTCGGCGGGGATCGAACCCAGGAGTCTAATACCAAGATTCCATATCCACTTTCAAAAGTTTTGTTTCTTTTTTTAATAAAAAAATCTTTTGCCAAAATAGTAAACCAACAGTCGAATGTTTGAAATATAGCAATAAAATCATGAAAAATTATTTGAAATTTTTCTACTTTTTGGGCTCGCTAAAAAGTGAACATGCAGTTAGAAAATTATTCAACGTTTCATGATGCCAAAAAATGAAAAGAAAATGAGACATTTTAAAACGTACCTAATTAAATAAAAGGTCACTGAGGCATTTCTGAATCTTTTCAACTAGTGTTTACATGAAGAAGATTAATTTCGTAAGAAATGATAAGCTAAATAAACTTTTTTTAATTTTTTAATGAAATAAGCAAAATGTATGGTCAAATAAAGAATAATAATAGTACAGCAACTTTGAGAATTATATGCATAACATCCTAAGTATTATATTCAGAAATCGAAAATTACGAGAAATCGAAAATTAAAACTTATCAGGTTGCGTAGCCAAAATTCAACAAAAAATAAGCACCTTTTAAGTACTTTTAAGCATTAAAAAATATTTTTATGCATTTAAAAATATTGCTTAAAAATATAATGTATTTAAATAATATAATAATAAAGTAATAATATAATGTAAGATAATAATATATTGTATTTAAAAATATTTTTAATACATTAGCAAAATGCAAAATAATTTTCAAAGACTTTACATGATCATTAAAAAGCAACTAGTTTTTAACAAAAATTTTACTAACCACCATAAAAAGATCGAGAGAGATTTCGATTCGATTTCAGAGGGTGGAAAATGAAGTCTGAAATTAAAAATATCTTGCAAAATGCAGCAGAGTTTCACATGAGAGTGCAAAAATCCTTCCCACTGAAACCAGCTCAGTACACGCACATGCGGGCTCGCAAGTATTTCATCGAACATGTACAATGATCGGCTCTATCTTACGTTACGGACCGACGGTGCGCCAAAATGCATTGTGTTTGAATGAATTGTGAAAACGTTAAATAGAACAATGTGAAAACCCCGCTTTTGCATAATACATAGCAAAAATCGACTTGGTAAAGAAAAAATCTCATTTTCGCAAGGGGAAAATTAAACATTTTTTAAAAGCATCCAATAAAAAAAGCACCGTAAAGGGCTTTTAAAAAACGAAAATCGAAAATAAGCACCTCTGAGCACTTTTTAAAAATGCTACGCACCATCTTTATTTATCTGTTTCTCTAGAACTGTAATAATAACCAACTATTTCAAATTTAAGAAATGCGCAAAAGATCAAATGATTAAATTGAATTCGTAATATGATAACTTTTATAACCAGAAACGAAAAGTAATGTATCATTTTTCCTAGAACAGCAGGAGTTCATATCATATCATGTAAAACATATCATATCACATCATATAAAACATCACATATTCCACTTCATATCATGTAAAACACGTTCATATCATATAAAACTATAACACGTTCATATCATATAAAACTATTACACGTTCATATCATATAAAACTATTACACGTTCATATCATATAAAACTATAACACGTTCATATCATATAAAACTATAACACGTTCATATCATATAAAACTATAACACGTTCATATCATATAAAACTATAACACGTTCATATCATATAAAACTATAACACGTTCATATCATATAAAACTATAACACGTTCATATCATATAAAACTATAACACGTTCATATCATATAAAACTATAACACGTTCATATCATATAAAACTATAACACGTTCATATCATATAAAACTATAACACGTTCATATCATATAAAACTATAACACGTTCATATCATATAAAACTATAACACGTTCATATCATATAAAACTATAACACGTTCATATCATATAAAACTATAACACGTTCATATCATATAAAACTATAACACGTTCATATCATATAAAACTATAACACGTNTTACTCTATAGAAACGCGTTTTAAAAGCACAAACATAAACAAAGCAAACACGGGGTTTCAGATAGCTTTGTGATCTTTGAGCTAATAAAAAAAAATTGAATGTGCATCAGTATAAGTTGAAACAGAACAGTCTACAGTTTTATTTGTTTTTAGTATCTGCGGCTAAATTAATACCTTCGAGTTTTCAAGAGTTAAAATAGTAATTATAATAGTTTTCAGTAGCACAAATAGTTCCGAAGTTCTTAGAGATTTGACTGGGCGTTGCTTGACAAGGTCGGGCATAAATATAATTTTAGTAAAAAATGTACTAGGTAAAAATGTATTTAGTGAAAAATGTATTAAGACAAAAATCCATTATTGTGAGTCCAAAAAGAAAATTAAAAAACGTAATAACAAAACCCAACATTTTTTTATTTAAAATGTATTAAACAAATGCATAAAACTCGAAAATGAATGAAAATAACTTCTAAATTAATATTTTTCTTCATTTTGCAAAATAATTGCGTTTTGTAAAGAAATTTAAGAGGTTAGAATCCCAGGTCCTGTTCATTTACGATCAACAATGTAGAGAAGTTTATAGTAAGAGGCTAGAATCCTAGTTCCTGTTCGATTACGATCAACGTTGTAAAGAAATTTAAGAGGCTAGAATCCCAGTTCCTGTTCATTTACGATCNTTAGTTCGTGAAAATCCGATCATTAGAACGAAAGTTATTCAGGGTGATTCGTTTTTTTTTTTGCGGACTGTACATCTAGATATAATAGCATTTAATTAAAAAAAAATTTTAATTTATTTTTTTATTTTTTTAATCCATTTAAATTTTTGGATATAAAAGCAAATGTAATTTTGTGTTAAATAAAAATAAAATATAAAACTGTAGAGCCCCAGTTCCTGTTCGATTACGATCAACGGTGTAGAGAAGTTTATAGTAACAGGCTAGAATCCCAGTTCCTGTTCGATTACAATCAACGGTGTAAAGAAATTTAAGAGACTAGAATCCCAGTTCCTGTTCATTTACGATCAACAGTGTGGAGAAGTTTATAGTAAGAGGCTAGAATCTCAGTTCCTGTTCGATTACAATCAACGGTGCAAAGAAATTTAAGAGGCTAGAATCCCAGTTCCTGTTCATTTACGATCAACAGTGTAGAGAAGTTTATAGTAAGAGGCTAGAATCCTAGTTCCTGTTCGATTACAATCAACGGTGTAAAGAAATTTAAGAAGCTAGAATCCCAGTTCCTGTTCATTTACGATCAACAGTGTAGAGAAGTTTATAGTAAGAGGCTAGAATCCCAGTTCCTGTTCGATTACGATCAACGGTGTAAATAAATTTATGGTAAGAGGCTGGAATCCCAGTTCCTGTTCATTTACGATCAACAGTGTAAAGAAGTTTACAGTAAGAGGCTAGAATCGCACTTACGATCAATGGTGTAGAGAAGTTTTGATTTTGTACGCTGTTCAGCACTAATACTTATAAAGCGAATAGGTATAGCATAAATATATGTATGAAAGGGAAAAAAATTTTATACTCACCCATGTTATTACAGTTAATGACAAGATAAAACGAAAAATTAGCATACTCAAAAAATTTATATTCTTCAATAAAAGTTGTTATAATGCAATTTTATTCTGCTATCCTATTCAAACCATTTCCATTGTCTGAATTCGCGAGAAAAGTTCTACGATTCAGTTCGATGTAAAGGATTAGACGATGTCAACACCGGCTTTATTGATTATTATTTAAAATTTCTTGGAACTGTATTTGTAGAATTTTTCGATTCATAGTTGAAGTTAAATTCGTGTGGCGGTTAAGCGCTCGTTTTAAAGAACAATAATTTACTTTACAAATATTTAAAATATTTTACAGATAAAATTGCGAAACTAGTCTGTTGAATTCCCTAAGTCAGCAATTCCTCAATGTTGTTCCGCAGAACCCTAGAACTCCGTGGAAGAGTTGAAAGGGTTCCGTGCCTTCGTACTTTTTATAACCAATGATGAATTTTTATACCTCTGATTATATTTAGATACAAACACGCTTAAAGGAATTTTTTCTAATCTTCGAAACTTGAGAAATTTCAAATTAATGCGCTATTATAGTTTGGGATTTTTTGATATTTTCGGTTTTCAAAATTCATTGCTTGATTTTTTCGTTGTTGTTGTTTTTCGATTAATTTAAATCATTTCTCTTTGGGCTCAACTTGCAACCAACTCAGATTTATTCACTAGATTAAGCAATGATTATTCTACTTAAGAGAAAGATAGTACACAAGTGTGTTAGGTTTTGAAAACTTTTTCTTATCAAAGCTAATAACACTCGTGGACCCCTGATTTGTCTATAATTATTTCCTTTCTTACGATTGTATAGTATATTATAATATAATATCTGGTCCATTATGAAAATTATAGGTTATTATTAGGGGCAGATATGGGGTCATTTATATGCATAATATGTTAGCAAACATTTCTCCGTTTTCAAGCTATTATTCGCTCTTATTAAAAAGAAAAATAATAATTTAAGGTGTGGGGGGTATTAATTATCGACTATGCCCACCTTCATCTATCAAAAGGTTGACATGGTCGATTTATAATTCCCTTCAAAGGAAAAGGAAAATTCAATTTACGTTAGAATAATGAGAAAAAAAAACATAAAAATTAAGAAATATAATTTTTTAAATATTGACCTTTAACCGGGTTTGAATCCTGAACCCTTGGGTCAGCTAATTTTGTTGCTTCATAGCACTCCTTAATATTGACCCATAGTATTCAAACAAGAGGAGAAAGTCAACCTTTAAAATCAATATTTTTTCCTGAAACACTTCTTAATTTATAACTAAAACTTAACATACAACGAAAAAGAAAATCTAACAATTGCATTACTTTTCATCACATTGAACATAATTTTAATTTTTCCGGAGTGATTTTAATTTTTTCTCCAATATATGTGCAGTGACTTTATTGATAAACAAGAAAGTGACTTTAATTTTAATAAACTGTCGTTTTATACTTATTACTCATTTATAAAAAAAAGGGTCTGATTACATGTATATATACATTCATAATTTCTAGATACTCTGTAGTGATGTCCAGAGGTAGTCGGAAAGGTTTTTAAAAGTGAATGTTTCGAAGTTCTGTTAACCAAAGATGAAAAGCAACGGTCTTTGGGGCTATTGTAAACAGTTATATTTGTAAATATTTACTAAATATGGTAGCAAATTCATTTTGTTTTTCGTTCTATTCTGTAACGGATGTTTAAAATAACTATGACTGTAATCTGATCATATGAATCGAGAAAAATTACTTTTGTTGTTGTTTATGAAATAACACTTTACGTAAAATTGAAAAATTATATTCGATTTGATCAAACATAGAGTTTGGTCGTGTAACAATGAGAATTCTTTGGTTCAATATTTTCAGATGAACGAGCAGCTATTTTGAATCATGTTCACGGAAGTATTTATTGGTAGACAGACTTGCTTTCCTATTGCTGTCCTGGATTTTGGATATTGTACTTTATAAAATATTAAAAAGAATTGCATATGATGGTATTTATGAAAATGAACATCTATGCTAAATTCGTTAAGACATACACAGTAAAAGCTAGATACTCAAATATTACTAAACTTTTTTCGTTTTTGATGAAACTGTTTTCTAATGTAAGCTACAGCTACGAGAGAAATTTTCGTCGAAGTAACTAAATAGCTATCGCCACATTTTCGAGGAAACCAATTTTATCAAACTTAAAAAAATATTTCGTCATTCTAATTTTTACCTAAAAAAACCAAAAAAAAAAACTTGTAGTGCCTGAAGTACCCAATATTTCCAAATAGCATTTCATCGTCGATATCATATATTGAGTATAGTATTTAAGTGCGCCCTAACAACACAAGGATAGAGAGATAAATTACATCCATGCCCGAAGCTGGATTCAATCCCGGAAACTTCTTGGTTTGAGGCCAACTCCTTGACCACCATACAAGCCAATCGGCTTACTGTCTGTCTAAGCTAAGAACTCCTCCCGCCACAAAGCGTGAGGCCGTCTGGTGCTATGGAAACAAGAATGGCTTATTTTAGGGAAGGTAGCTTCACTCTAGGACACATAAGGCCGAAGAAAAAAATTCCTTTTCTCCCACCGAAACCATTCCAAAACAGTGACCCCTCACCCCTACTTGAAATCTGTGTTGTAACTTCATCCATCGGGGGGCTCTGGGGCAAAAATGTTTGTCAGAGGCCCTTTCAAAAACTTTCTGTTCTCCATCTCTAACTAATGCATGCAGGATACATTTTAGCTATTAATGTATCATGTTAGCGAATATATTTATGAAAACAAGTTACTTGTTCGTAAATAAATTGGATTAAAAAAAATATTGTTAAATTTTCATCATTGCAAAATATAAAATTTGTGCGAAATTGGGAAATTAAATTTTAAAAAAAGTCGTACATATAAAACTCGATTTCTCAGGAACTAATCAACCGATATTGCTCAGATTTTGTATTTTCCATGTGGAATTAGATACTTTAAAATGATGCAAGAAAAACTATACATCTTACAACTCAAAAGTTTTCAGACTATTATGAAATAAAAAATAAATATTTACTAAAAGTTATTTTCTGCCTGGAGTTATCTTTGGATAACAAAAATTTTATAATCGCGCGCGAAATTTTTTCAATTCCCTCTCAACTCCCTCTCTTAATTAGCTCTCAAGTTGTGGCGAAATACTAAAAAATAAAACTGACATTTGGTGATCTTAACTTTAGATAGCTCACCCAGCCAAACTATTGGTGCCATATTTCCCAGATTACGGCCACCTCTTATATTACAGGGGTTGGAAAATTGAATTCGTTGAATAAAAGTTATGTTTATTCAGATAAAGTATGTTTTTATGTCTGATTACGTAACTTAGAATAAAATATCGTTTATTCGAATTAATTTGCATATTTGACGTCACACTCAGGAACTATGAAGATGGAGTCCTAGAAAGTGAAGATCCGATCATTAAATCAAAAGTTATCCAGGGTGGTCTTTTTTTTGGCTCACTGAACGTTAATGTTATCAATTTACGACATCTCACTGAGGAAATTTGTCTAGGAAGAAAAAAGCTATTCATCTTGCCTACTCTTGTCCCGCATGTCCTTTTCCTCTAAATATAATGCTAATCATAAAATACCAATTTTATAGACCTCTTGAGTCCGGTTACTATATCGTTTGGAAGGTCTTTTCAAGACAAAACCATTATAAAAATGAAAATTATCTCTTAGTTTCAAATCTGAAAATTTCAATTCGCGTCATGGAAATGATAGGAAATTATAGACTTTTTTTTATCGGCACATGTAGCCATATTTAAAAAAAAAACGCAATTGAAAAAAAATAACCAGAATTTTTTTCTCTATGAACATTGATTAAAAAACACAAAGTTGCCTTACCCCAATATGGACAGGTCCCTAAAAATATAGCTATATTTTGAAAAGAATTTATTCCTGAATATTTGGTCTATGCATTCATGACACCATCTGCTCATATATGACAAAGAGTAATAGTTTTCTTTTTCTTTTTTTTTAAATATTCCAAAACGAAAAATGAGAAAAAGTCAAAACATATTTGCTAATTAAAAAAAATTCTTAATGGTTTGTCATGACAATGAATTTTAATTGCTACTGGTTTCTAAGCTGATATTCACAGCTTTTTTTATTAAATTAAAAGAGTTTTTTTATTAAATTAAATATGATTCTTTTTTTAATAAAATTAAAGGTTGCATTTAATTTTTTAATGAAAATGAAGTAGTCAAAAAACCTAAAAAATTCGAAGTCCCAATTTCAAAAATTTAAGGGTCTTAATAATTAAAAAAGATATAAAATAAGAAGAAAATCTATGCACACAATAAGCAGTAAAATCATCAATTAAAGTACTATATAAGTGAAATTTTATATACGAACATTAAAAAAGGCAATTTTTACTTGACCATTCTTATAAAACAATTCTAACAGTACATAAATATACGATTTTAAATGAGTTAATGCAAACATTTCCTTACCCCCTTAGAAATAAATTTAGTTTTGGTTTTCTTGTTTTCCGAAGACAAATTTTATTAAGAATGGGAATTATTGATATCACACGATTTATGTTTGAAAAAAGACAGTTGCAGATAATTACTCTTAATTAAAGCTAAATTTTAATTTCAAAAATTGAACAAAATAATAGTTGACAGAAAATTTATATCTGTATTAAAAATAGTTGATTTAAATGACGCAATTAAATTTGCTAAAAATTGGAATTTGANTGATATTCACAGCTTTTTTTATTAAATTAAAAGAGTTTTTTTATTAAATTAAATATGATTCTTTTTTTAATAAAATTAAAGGTTGCATTTAATTTTTTAATGAAAATAAAGTAGTCAAAAAACCTAAAAAATTCGAAGTCCCACTTTCAAAAATTTAAAGGTCTTAATAATTAAAAAAGATGTACACTAAGAAGAAAATCCAGGCACACAATAAGCAGTAAAATCATCAATCTAAGTACTATGTAAGTGAAATTTTATATACGAACATAAAAAAAAGCAATTTTTACTTGACCATTCTTATAAAACAATTCTAACAGTACATAAATATAAAATTTTTAATGAGTTAATGCAAACATTTCCTTACCCCCTT